GGGATCCTTGCCTCCGAAACATGGCTCAAACGGGTTTGGATCGAGCTCGACTCATTGGGCATCAGAGTCGAGATCTCCTCCCCTCCCTTGTCCCTACACTGTGTCGACGATCGTCTCTTGATGGACATCTTCATCGATGCCTTGGTCGACCAAGAGGACTTGCTGTGGCTCAACTGGTGCCGCCAATATCTCCAAGTCACCACCCTCTCGGAACTCACCACCGCCGACGGGTGTTCCCTGACGGCAGCTTCTCTTGCCGGCCAACCCTCCGGACACTTTGTGACCAGCTACAATTGGCCCCAAACTCGACGCCCTGGCCCCTCTCACTGGGACCTATGGCGACGCGTCCTCTCTCAAGCTGTCCTCCGCCCCTACAGCCGCCGTCGCCGATTGTTGCAGCCCCTCGGACCGTGGTCTGATTCGCTAGACCGCTGGACCTGGCTCTTCTCTCGCACCGCTTTGATCCTCTTCCATCGGACGGACAAATACCTGGCAATCTACCGGCCCATCAACTCGCGTTCCCATAAGACCTTCCGAAGGGATCTTCACCACACTTGCTCGCAGGCATCATGGTTGTTGACTGGTTGCTCCAACAGTGGGCGCCTACGCTCCAATCTAAACCCCGCGTAAGGATAGCGTGTGATGGGTTTTCCGCTCTCCCCTCACTAGGCGTAGTTTGACCTGGTCTCTTCCCTCCGCGAGGCCCTTGCGCGCTCCAAAGCATTGTGGGAGCCTAGTCATGTGTATGGTCACCTTGACCGTGCTACGTCCTTTTCGTCCCTGTCTTGGTGGTCCAAAAGGAATGTTGAAGTGGATAATTGGGCAGTGGCATACCGCCATCAGTTGGAGGCTTCTAACCAACTGATTGCACCCAATGCTCGCTTCTTTACTGAGCTGGCCGCTCTCTACATCGGAGGCGTTAAGCAGTCTCGATTGGACCCAGACTACATCCAAGAGCTGGTGGCGCTTCCCGCCCTCCGCAAGAGGTGGCGCGAGAAACTCACGGTCACCCCAGAGGCGGAGTCGGAAACCGACTGGCCCAGTCTGGCCCGGGCCATGCAATCTCTCCCCGCGGGCGTCCAACGCTGGACCACAAAGCACGTGGTGGGTATGTGCGGTGTCGGCAAGTTTAAGGTACGATGGGGATATGACACATCTGCTGCATGCCCATGCTGTGGCGAGTTCGAAGATCACCTACACGTACCTCGATGTAGGGCTCCATCCGCCAGCGCTGAATGGGATCGCCAGACAGTGGCCCTGGATTTATGGCTGGACACTCAAGTGACAGATCCGGCCATCAAACATGCCCTCCTCTCCCTTCTTAAAGGGGTTCGCGATCCATCCCTCCCGTCCATTCGAATGGTACCAGGTCGACTGAGCAGCGCCTTCCGCTCCCAGCAACGCATTGGTTACCAAGGCTTGTTGGAAGGAAGATTGTCCCGCCAATGGGCCCCATTGCAGGAGGAATATCTGCAGTCGCACGGGAGCCAACGCTCTCCCACCTTATGGGCCTCACGCCTCTCGCATCAGTTGATGTTGCTGGGCTTCCAGTTGTGGGAACATCGGAACTCGGTACAACACTCGGAGGACAATGTACAGTTACAAGAGCGCAGCCATCAGGTCAACGACGGGATACACAACCAGTTTGATATGGGTCCCACTGACCTACCTAAGGTTGTTCAACGCCTGCTTTCGGTCAAGCGCCGGACAGTCTTGAACAAACCACTGATAGACCATGAGGAGTGGCTGAAGCTGGTGAGGATGGAACGCACGGCCTACCGCCGCGCTCTGGCGCCTCAACGCCGTATCCTTCATCGCTTCCTCCACCCTGCGGACCATTCCCCGTGAACAACGTTTCGTGGAAGCAACGCCCCGAAATCACCCCGCCACGCTGCGGGTAGAGTCCGAACCAGCTGGTTCTGACTAGAGCAACTTCTGATTTTTCAGACGCCTCACATGGTTCAAACTTGTTGTTGACTCGCCGCTCCACAGTACTTGACCTTTACAGCCAACCATTCCACCGGCAATCGTATGCGCTACCTAGCATTTAATTGATTAATGTTTCAGTTATTATTATTATTGAATCCCTCAGATGTGAAGTTTGCCAAGTGAATAAAAATGTGAACATTCAATACGGACATCTGCCTGAAAGACACGCAGATTTGGTCCTGTGGTTTTCTGTGGCTGTGGATTTGATTGGACCTTGGAAAACCGTAGACATTGAATTCAATGCGCTCACTTGTATTGATCCTGTGACAAATCTCACTGAACTTTCATGCATTGAGAACAAAACTTCAACCCATGTCACCACTGCTGCTTCTCGGCGGGAACTTGTGACTCCGGACCACACAGCAAGGACGCTGTCGACCTCGGACCATAGCAATGCTGTGGACCCAGGCTCTGGCCCAGGGTCCTCTATTCCGTCTCTAGCCAGTTCTAGGGTCTCTGACAATTCCTCGGATGGTTCGCCGTCCCCGGTCTTCCCCATCTTCCGTCATCCTCAACACTCTTCTCCTCCTGACCGTTCTATGGGTAAACGAAGGAAGAAGAAGCCATTGGCCAGCCGTGGAGCCTCCCGCTCCACGGCAGGGCCATGAGAGGCCCTCGATCGTCTGCCGCTCGGTCACGGCGTGCAGGC